CCCCCCACCCCCAGCTCTCAAAACATCTAGAATGGCTCCCACGTCCAGCCAGGATACTGAAGAGGCTGAGGAAGAAATCCTCTTGTCTCCGGTGAACCAAGAGCCGGTGTGTGGAGGCCTGGAGCCTCCAACCAGATCATCACTGAATCCCATGGCTTCCCCAGGCCAGCAGGACACCAGACCCCAGGCCCCACAGGCCTCCTTTCCCATCCACCTGCAGTAAGGAAGTGGGGGTGGGGAAGGGGTGGTCAGCCTTTGGGCAGGACCAAGGAGGGACAAGGCCTGATAAAAGCAGAAGATGCTGGCCTTGCAGGGCAGCCTCCGAGTCCTTGGACCCACACACCCTGCAGCTGCTCTGGGGACAGCGAGAGTTGGAGATCCAGGCCCTACGCTGGGTTGTCCATGGTGGCCGAGATGCTCGGTACAACCACATCTTGCAAGAGGTGGCAGGGTTTCCTGCAGAGAGGTCAGGAGTGAAGCACCAGTCTCCCAGCCCAGACTGTCCCTTCCTGGTCCTGGCCCCAACTTCTGGTTTCTGTCTGACCCTAACCACTGAATCCAACCAGCCCTGACCCTTACCCTGACCTTTGTCCCTAGGACCTAGTCCTTACCTGACCCTGACTGGAACCCTAATCCTGGACAAGTCAGTAAGCTGGGAACAAGATCGGTGGACACTACATCCAACCTGAGTCCTAGCCCCGAGCTAGCTCGCCCCAGTCACTGCTCCCAACCTATAATCCACCCAGACTTGACCTGGGGGAGCTGGATCTGATCTGGCCCATCCTTCAGTCAAGAAGCCCAACTACACCCCAGTCCTCAGGTTCTGGCTGCGAAGAGGAGGCCAAGGCCTCTCTTGCCCCCCTTGGCAGCTGAGCAGAGATAGGGGCTGCTGAGATCCTGCCCTTCTCCTAGGAGCTCCTGGAATCAGGAAAAGTTCCTGCAGAACCAGGTGCAGAAGCTAACCCTGGAGCTGAAAGAGCAACAGAAGCAAGCCCAGCTGGTGAGGGCAGGCGCTGGGTGCAGACTAGGGGCTGGGTGGTCAGGGACTCCCCTCCCCATCTTCCTAGTCTTAGTGTAGAAGCTCAGTGGAAACCTGTCCACCAGGAGTGACCCCTACTGCTATGTAAAATATCGGTGGCATAGCTTCCAGCAACGCACAAGCTACAATGGGGTAATACACTGACAGACAAGGAGTGGTTTTATATGAAGAAGAATGTGACATCAGATTTGGAGGAAGACTCATTAACAACCTACGATATGCAGATGATACAACTTTTCTTGCTGAAAGCAAAGAGGATTTAAAATAGTTACTCATGAAGATCAAAGATCACAGCCTTCAGTATGGGTTGCATCTCAATGTAAAGAAAAAAATCTTCACCCCTGGACCAGTAAATAACATCCTGATAAATGAAGAAAAGACTGAAGCTGTCAGAGACCTCATTTTGCTTGGGTCCACCATCAACATCAACACTCGTGGAAGCAGCAGACAAGAAATCAAATGACATAGTGCATTAGACAAATTTGCTTCACAAGACCTCTTTAACATGTTCAAGAGCAAAGATGTCAATTTGAGGACTAAGGTACACCTGACAGAAGCCATGGCATTTGCAATCGTCTCATATGTATATGAAAGTTAGACAGTAAATAAGAAAGGTCACAGAATAATTAATGCATTGGAATTGTGGTGTTGGAGAAGAATATTGAAAGTGCATGGACTACCAGAACAAACAAATCTGTGTTGGAAGAGACACAGCCAGATGCTCCTTAGAAGCCAGGCTGGTCAGACTTCATCTTTCCTACTTCGAATCAGGAGGGACCAGGGCATCACGCTTGGTAGAGGACTGGCGGAAAACGGGAACATCCCCAATAAGATGGACTGGCATAGTGGTCGCAGCAACAGTTTAACAATGATTGTGAGGCTGATTCATTCCGTTGTGAAGAGGGTTGCTCTGAGTAGGAACCTAACAACGAGAAGTCAAGGACCCACTGGCTTCAGGGCCGGGACCTGGATAGGGTCAGCATGGATGTGTGCAGACTTGGGGATGGGGTGGGCCGGGGTCCCGAGTAGGGTGGGCTGGATGGAGAACTTACCCTCTCTCACACAGGAGAAGGAGAAACTAGAGCAGCAGTTGTTGCAGACCATCCAAACGCTACAGCAACTCGAGGCAGAGCTGGAGACCTTTCAGAAGTCCTGCCTCCTGCAGCTGGCCTGCTCGTCCTGGTTGGGCCGCATACTGCGGTCTCAGACAGGCAGCGTGGAGGTGAGGCCACGCCCTCCCAAGCAGCATGCCCTCTCTAGACTGTGCCTCTCCTGGGTGCCCCAGACTGGGTTGGATCCACCTGCTACTCAGCAAGTGTGTGCTGAGTGGGAGAGCTGTTAGGAGAGAAACCATTTCTCTCCATCCCCCAGCCCTGCCTCTGGTCTTCCCACTTCATCCTGTAGGTAGTGACAGCAGAGACAATAATGGAGCCTTGTGATTCCTCCCAAACTGAGCTGGTCTCCATCTCAGGGGAGGTGAGTGAGGCCCCCCACCTACTCTCAGCTCTGAACCCCATGGTATCAGGATGAGGGGCCCGAGTGCTGGTTGCTTTCTGACCAGGGTTTCCAGCTGAAGGATGTGGACTGGAATAGTGTCGCCCAGCGGTACCCCAACCTGTTGACAGAGGCAGCCCTCTTGGAGCACAAGTAATGTGTTGGGCCAGGCGCACCTAGGGGCTGGGAGGGCCTAGGAGTCCCCGCTCTACCCCGTGCTGTTAGCATGTCAGCCTCGGTCCTCTGACCTATCAAACAAGCAAGGTGGGGGGTCTCTAGGCCTCCTGCCCTGTGCTTTAATTAGATGCTGCGTGCCAGGTACCCAGCCACAAACGTATGTTCCCACCTGCCCTAGGAGGAGGGTGGGACAGGGCTAGGTGTCCAGGGCCAAAGCCTGCACCCAGTGAGCTGAGTATGACCCACAGGCAGCCCCGGCCACCACCACAGCTGCCGAAGCAACCGGAACACATATGTGGCTCCGCATCCCGCCTGGAGCGTGTCGAAGGTCACACCAAGAGCGTCGAGTGGAGCACCCTACCCTTGAACTCCACCAGCTCTGAGGTCATCAACGTCAACTCCAGAACCTCTCAGCTGTCCACACCATCTCGTGTGCAGAAGGTGACAGGGCATCCGCCTGGGGAGTCAAGTCATGTGTCTCTCCAGCAGACCACGGCCCGGGAGAAGATTGGCAGCTCAGATACTCTCTGTGGCCCGTCAGGTGCAGTGGGTACCCCCTGCCCCCCAGCCCTGCCCTATGTGCACAGGCAGGCAGAGCCCAAGAGGGAGGCACTAAGCCGACTGTGAGGCCCTGCCACCTGCCCAAGCTTGTACCCTAGGGCTCAGTGGTGCCTCCTGTCCGCAAATACTACGGGGTGCTCCGCCAGCTTCTTCAGCCCCCAATCTGATCATGGGGCTCCCTCCTCTCCTGCGGACCCTCGGGGGTGTTGCAGGCCACGTCCCAGCAGCAGACCTATCCTCACTGACCACTCCATGTGGGGGTTACTTTGCTCAGATCTATTGAAAACCCTCTCGGAAGAGGTGAAGCAGCCAGTCCCGCAGCCTGAAGCCAGGAAAGACTCCCGTTCCTCAGCTCAGAGGTCTAGCAGGAGGTAAGAGGCCACAGGGCACCGGCTGGGTGGTCCCTGTGGCTGTCAGGGCTGGGTGGGACGGGGCTGACTTGCTTCACCGCACCGTGCACCCTCCTCCCCGCAGATTGATTAGCTCCTGTCTGAAGATCGTGGCCGTGAACCCCCGTGAGAAGTTCATCCGCGTCCTCAATCAGTCGCTAGAGCAGACGGCCGACCTGGGCGGCTTAGTGCTCCAGCAGCTGGAGCGTGAATTCCCCGTGTGCTTGTATCGATTCCCTGCCGGCACGCTGTTGGCGCCTCAGCACCATGTCACGGTGGGCCCCCATCCCGATCCTGCTTAGCGCCGCCGCCCACACCCCGTCCTCACTGGGCCCATCTGTCCCCACAGGTGTGGGGCGAGGGGTTCAGCAACACCAAGAAACACCTGCCCGCATCCTTGGACGGCGAGTCGACCCAATTCCACCTCAGCCGTAACCGTGTAACCGTTCTCCTGAACCTCGACGGCGAGGTCAGTGTGGGGGCAGGGACTGGGAGAGGGGCTTCACGGGGCAGGTGTGATCACGACGCCCCTGCCCACCCGGCAGATCCTCAGCGAGTTCCAGACCCCGCGCTCTAGGACCCCAGTGTCGAGGGTCTTCTCGGACAACACCGATTTGTCCATCGACCGCGTCCCACTTCCGGAAGCCCCGTCGGACGCTGATACCAATGTGCAGCAGCGCCAGTCTCGGTCCTTGCGCAAGGGACGGTCGCCAGGGCTCCGGGCACATCGCCGGAAACCCAGGTGAGGCCCGCGTGGTTCTCAGTCCGCACCTCCACTAGACCCCGTCCCCAGCTGTCCAGTCCCGGGACCCCGCTGAAACCGCCCCCAGGTTCCAAACTCCGCCTTGCTAGGACAGCCGCTCCAATTCCCTGGACCCTGCCCCAGGCTGACCCACTAGACCTATCTCCGGGCGCCCCTGTCCTGCCAGGCCCGCCCATTCTCGCGGACAGCCTCCGTCCGGCCCTTAGGACACCTTCATCCCACCAGAACTCGGGTCTTTTTGCCTCTCCTGGCCCCCAACAAGCTCCTCCAGCCGCGGGAAGAGCCCAAATGGCCCGAGGACGCCAAAGCCCCAAAGCCTCTGCCCACCATCCCGGGTGAGTGCACGCGGGACCAGGAGCGGTGAGGGCAGGAGGCAAGACGGGACGCCGCCGGCCTGACTCCCTCCCTCCTTTTCCGCACAGAGGCTGGGCCGGGCCTTCACAACAGCCAAGCCAGGAAAGAGATCACTGTCCGGGTGAGACCCGGCAGCGAACTTGCGGGGGCGTGTCGGCACAGCACCCTCCGAGGCCACGCCCCCTCCACGCCCCGCCCCGCCCCCGCCCCGCCTCACAGGGCGCGTCTCTTCCCAGGTGTGCCGGAAGGACGTGGACCGGAGCTGCCCCATGGTGGCGCTGTCGGTGCAGAGCACAGCAGAGAGCAGGTACGGCTTTCGCTTCCTGAGCTGCCCGCCCATCACCGTAGATGCCTGTAGGCGGATTTAAACGCAGTGCGCGCTCGTGGGCCGATGCGCCGGCGGGCAATACATTCGTCTTCTCTCACCCAGCTGGCTCCGTGATTGTGGCGGCAGGAGTCGGGGGCGGGGTGCTGGGAGGCAGGGACACACGGTGACGAGGTCACTCCGGGCGGTCCCGCAGAAAGAAAGACGTCGGAGGCAGGCAGTGCTCGCTGCATTTATTGAACCACCTTTGCCTACAAAGTAAACTACATTTCTGTACACCTGAGAGTTGAAATGATTCCTTTGGTGTCCCGGCGTTGTACCCCAAGAGGAGGGACAATACCCTCACCCGGCGACTGCGACCGAGGCTCTGCCTTGTCCGGGCTGCCAAGGGGCAGGGCCCACAGTATTCAGGGCTTAACCTGAGATCAGAGTCTAAGGAACCCTGAGGGAGGGGAAATAGGTCATTGGTGCATGATGGGACTCGACGCCATCCCAGCAACACTCACCCTACACCCACCAAGGCCACTCCATTGACCATTTCCCGCTGGACAGCGAGGCCAAGAAACCCTGATGAGTGGAAGCAGATTGTGCCTACCCAGGCCAGCCTTGGCTCTCTCTGCCCCTACTGGCTGTTCCCCACCATCAAAGGACTTTTCTAGGCCGACCCTCCCCCCTACATGCTAGAGTCCAGTTGCCTCTGTGCCAGGGTTCAGGTGAGCTTGGCAGAGAGTGGGGGCTTCCACTAAGGGTGGGACTGGACCGGGGGGATGGGATCCAAGGATTGCATGCACCGGAGTCCTGGCAGTCTGGTTGCCACATCCAAGGCTGGCTGTGGGGTGGGATGTCGGTGGGCTCTAGGGCTCTGGCCTGAGGTGATGTCCAGGGCTCTCAGGGCAGTCACAGCTGCCAACCCCTGACCCAGGCCCCTGAGCCGACGACCCCTGAATGGCTGCTCTGTGGACCCCCAAGAGCTGGTGCCTGAGTCGGGTGGCATCGGGCACTTGGGGGGAGAGGGGATCAGTTTACAGCCCGAGGCCCCTGAGCACTCTGAAAAGCAAAGAGGCAGGCAGACCCTAAGCCTAGGCCCAGGTGTGGGAGGGGCACAGGTCCACCCAGAGCCCCATCTGTACCTGGGGCAGTGAGGCCCGAGGCCAGTGAAAGGGATCACAGGTACCCAGAGGTGGCTGGGAGAGTGGGGGAGTCAGAAATCCAGCTACCTCGGGCTTCCCTCCCACAGCCTGTTTCCCCAAGCAACCCCCCCCCCCATACACCCAACCTCCTACCGCTTTAGGCTGCACCTCTCCCCAGTACTGTACCCCCACCCCCCTCCACAGAAGCTGGGAGCCTGCTGTCCACATAAGCTCTGGGGCTAGACTGGCCTCTCTTGGGCAGGTAGGGAGAGGCTCCATGGAGCCTGTGTTAGGTCAGAGGCCTGGGACAAATCTTAAGCCATCTTCATAGGGCGAAGCCAGGAGCCCAGTAGTGGCCAACTGATCACCAAGCATCCTCAGAGCTGGGAATCTACAGCACTTCCTCCCTAGGTCCCGCTGCGTCACCAGACTGCACCTGCGTCCTCTTCTCCTGGCCCTGCCTGCTCTCCATTCATCCCCTGTGGTTCCTCTCCACACCTGGTCCTCCTCTCTGGGTTCCTGGCCTCAAGGTCCAACTGGCTCTGTGACTATGTCCCTCACCACCCCCAGTCAGCCATCTCTGCTTCCTGACCCGTAGAGGAGGGTCATCTGGCCGACTCTGAGCCCAAGTCCCTGGTCCCTGGTCTGGGTGGGCTTTCCTCTGGAGATTGGGCCCCACTGGGCAAGGGGCCTCGGTTCTACGGCCTGTGTCTTGGCTCGGTGCTAGCCAAGACCACTCAGAAGCCACTGACCCTCAGTGGGACCCGACTTGCCTTGACTCTGTGTGCCCTCTGCCACCCTTTTCTGGAATTCCTTTTTCCAGATCTACCAGCCCTGGGGACCTCCAGCTTGTGTGGGGGAAGGGGTGGGGGCAGGAGAGAAGGTGGTGGGAGGGAGGACTGGGGATTGATGCAGCCCCTCCCTCAGCAGCAAGCCCCCAACTCCAGAATAGGATGTCCCTGTCACCGCCCCTCCTGCTCCCTTCCTCAGAAGGTGTTGGGGGTCCCTCTTGGGCCCTGGGGGAGAGACTCAGTACCTGGGGCCAAGCTGGGATGTCCAGGGGCAGCTTGGGGCCCAGCCTCATTCTTTTCCCCTTTAGAGCACCTCTGTGGACCCTGGGAAGCTGCTGTCCCTTCCTTCCTGGACTTCAGATGCCTACAGGGGAGGGGACTGGATTTGGGGGTGGTGACCTGAAAATGTTCCCTCCTACCCCCAGGCAAGGCTTATCAGGGGAGGGGCACCCACCATGGGCAAAGCTCCCTCCACGTCTGGAGCTTGGCCAAGGCTAGGTGGTCAGAGCCAGCTGCGGGATCCGACCCTGGGGCAGAGGCGCTGGTTAGGAGATTCTCCGGCCTGTGTCGGGTCAGCTGCTCCCTAGATGCCCAGGCCTGAGGAGAGAGGGCTGCTTTGTGGACAACACCTTGCGACAGGAGGGACACTAGCCTTTGGTTCGAAGGGCTCTCTCAGCATAGATCAGGGTTAGAAAGAGGGCCTGCACCTCAGCCCTGCTCTACGACCTTACTATAGCCCTGAAAACTGACCCATGGAGGGGGTGTGGAAACCCTGGATGTTGGTCCATGGGGGAGACTGGAGCCCTGGACAATGGTCCATGAGGGAGTACCGGGGCCCTGGATGCTGGAGGGAGAGGGGAAGGTCCCGGATGCTGGCTCATAGAGGTGGGGGCAGGGTGGTGGAGATCCTAGATGCTGGTCCACTGGGCCCTGGTCACCAGTCCATAAGAGGGGAGAGTCCTGGACCCTGCTGTGTGAAGTGGGGTGTACCTGGGACTTGTGTCTTCGCTCCCGTAGGCCTTTGGTAGGATTCCCACAGAGGACATGGCTGGTGCCTGGAGAAGAAGACATGGCTGGGCCCACAGGAGGGTCTAGGGGCTGTCGGGTCAAGTTTAGGCCAAGTGAGTTGGTTACCATGGGTGAGGTTGCTGGCATCATCTTCTGGGGTCCCGTCTTTGGGGAACAGGCCTTCTGGCAGGTGGTCCTCAGGAAGCAGTAGGGAGAGGGGCCAGAGGCTGGGGACCCGGGGCTGGGCTTCAGGTAGGGACTTCATGGGGGCTCCCTGGGAACGATCTGCCAAGGGCAGAATCAAAGGTCACCACAGCCTATGCCAGCCAGGCAACCCAAGAGCCCACCACAGACTGTCCAAAGGCCTCAACCTTTGACGTCTGCTTCCAGAGACCCTCAGTCTCTGATCCCTCCTCCCCTTGTGGCAAGGGACACAAAGTCCATGTAAACCAGGCTTCCCCAGATGCTGCCCAAGAGGGAAGGTCTGGCCCAGGCCCTGTATGCAGAGCTCTGGGGATGATGATATGTCATAATTCAGACATATTATCAGGGGAGAGGGGAGTGAGGTACACAATGTGACCCCTGAGGAGTCTGGGACTGTGGAGACCTCCCCCGCATGGTGGAACTGGGTGTGGAGGGCTCTTCTCTTAATGGGAACTTAGAGACCTCTCCTCCTGGGGGGTGGGGGGGAGGTGCGGATCGCTCCTGCTGGGGTGGGGGATGGAGACCTATCCTGGGGGTGGGCATGGAGATTTCTCCTCCGAGTGTGGGGAACGTAGAGACCTCTCCTCCTGGGAGTAAAATGGAAAACTCTCCTCCTGGTGGGGCGTGGAGACCTCTTCTCTGGGGGGGAGGAACGTAGAG